ATGGAAAAATGAGGTATAATAGTATGAAAACAATATAGTTTTGTATAAAAATAAAATTTTATGCCTACTATTTGAAAAAATTCCATCAAAACTGACTTTGAGCACCTCTCCTTGACTAAAGTCTCTTGCTTGGAGCTAAATACTTTTTTGACTTTTGATGACTTTCTCTAAAAATTTCTAGTTTCAATAAAATACTTTGATCAGGACAAAAAGTACAGGTTTAGTACTATGCAATGACTAAAGAATATGAACAGACACAAAATTTGCGGGTTTAAATTATAAGAGGCTATATAGTTTATAAATCTAATAATTTGTAACAGTAAATACATCTGACCCCATTTACAAGCTAATTTAGACATTTAAAACAATGTGAAACAATTAAAATTGGAATTTTAATTTAATTCTTAATTTTTTTTCTCGATTTACCTCAAATAGCTTTGGTGTCAAATAGTAACAATTTATATCTTGGTGTCACTGATCACTGTATTCTTTAGTTATTGGTACTATATGTATTATAAAGTCGTAAAAAACAAGTTTTTCCTTGAAAAATTCTACTACCTGCGATAGTTTTAGTCTAATTTTGAGTACTTGAAGTATGTACTGTCGAGTTTCCTCTTCCGGCCATCGTCCTCTTCCTCCCTCGAGTAATTTTCTTGCCATTTGTAACGCATGAAACTCCATTGTAATGTTTTTTCCTTAAAAAAGTATATTAACACCACTTAATTTTTTTGAATTATTACTTACCTTTTCAATTCAAAAATCCTTACGCCTCTGTTTTTTCTTCTGTCAGTTCTTCCTCTTCATCTGAACTGTCGGATTCGGGCTCGAAAACCTTCGGTGGTTTATCTGCAGCTATCCCATTCTATAACAAATTATACAAGCATTATATTTTATAAGAGTCATATAAAAACATTACTTTTCTGCAAGTTCCTCGGCATTTAGTCCATCCACGTTATCCATGTCGACGTCATAGTTATACAGTCGGGTCTTCGGTTCGTCAAATTTTCATGTGTCGTAGTCTTTTCCAGGGGATGGTACACGTTGTTATAATGTTCATTTCGTCCCATTTCGTTTCCTTTGCTTTTCTGAAAGAAATTTACACAAATTACATACCTAAACAACTACTAGTACAGTGTGTAATATATAAAAATAATGATTGTCTCGATTTTAATACGTATTCATTAAAAATGATTCATTTTAGAAACATATTTTTAAGTGTTCTCCAGTTTTGATTTAACTAGAACTATACGAATTTTCGTAGACGAATTTAATGACTTACTTAGCCGAAGGCTGGCATTCTTGTTTGTCGAAACTACTGGAATTTTTTAAAATGCCCTTTGCGGGTCGTTTTGTAAATTTTCTGACATTTTTGCACAAAAATCGACTGCACTTGTCAAAACACACGGTGGTAAACATTCAATGTCAAGTGTCAAATGAAATTGGGGAGTGGCTAAAGTCACGGACGTATATAAAATTTTAAAGATTCTTATACGTCCGTGAGTTAAAGTTTAAAGCACCATCCAGAGATATAGGGGTAAAATGTTGTTATACTAGGGGGGAGATCAATAAGTAATAATTTAGTAATTAGTAGGTAAAGTTAGTTATAAAAAATAAGATTGTAAGTAGTTTTTATTTAAGTTTTTGTTCTATTTAATGTTAAAAATCTTAAATAGATAAAATACGAATTTTTTATACATCTACGGATGTGTCATCACACCTAAATACGGATATTATATTTATTTAATCTGGCGATACTGGATTAGTCTATATTATGATTGAAACGTCATAAACTAAAAAATATGCACAGGTAATAATAATTAGTAAAAGTATTTTAGTAAACTATTTATAAAATACTAAGATACTAAAAAAACGTATCTAAATACAAAATACAAGATAAAATTAAAAAAAAATATTTCAAATATAAGATGAAAATACATATTTTCTATCTTATATCTGTATTTCAAATACTTGAATCTGAAATAAATCACATCTCTGACGATATTTTTAATATTAATTAAAAAAAATAACCGCCAAAAAAACTGCTAGAATACCTCTATCTCTGGTTTAAATAGAAAAAATAAAACAATTCTGCCCGTAACTTTAGCCACACCCTACTCCTGAAATACAATACGTCAAGTCTTCTTCTGTGGTCAAAGTTGTCAAATGCAATTCAAATAATTTAAAGTTTGAAAAAAATCAATTCAAAAAATGAATATTTCTACATTAATACGGTAGTAGAAGGAAGTACACGATAATTACTAGTTATTTGAATCCATTTTTCTCGTCTGTAATTAATAGAATCACAATTAAAATCGAACGCATGCGTGAATGGTTATTCTTCGCACTTTCAGAGATCAAATTTCCTGAAAAATTGTAGGAATTTCAGTCTGGTTCGAAACGCGAAGAGCTGTGTTACTGTACGTGTGTTTTCTTAACAGTGCTTGTGCCCTATTCTGTACTAGACCCGAATAAATCGACTTAAAGGTAAGCGAATACAGTGTTTTTTCGATCAGGATAGTTAAATAAAAAAGACCTACAATCATTTCAGTTATATAGAATTAAAATATTGCCTGAAAGGTCTTGTACCAGGTGTGCCTCCTGAAAAAAATGCATAATAAATATGCACGCACCTGTATAATATCGCTGAAAATATTTTTGTACTTTAAAAGTGAATTATTTTTGGTAATAAATATTCCAAAAATAGAGATATTTGATCAAGAAGTCCATTCTGAACAATGACATTTTAAGAAATTCATGGAAGCTATTTTATTTATTTTTTTTTTGATCAAAGAGGAACTATTCGTTATTTGTAACATTTTTATCACTGTCTTTTTTACTTTCTACCCTTACGTGTATGGTAGTTTTGTATAACAAAGCATCACAAACAATATAAAGTTTTTTTTTAATTAGTAGGTTTTAAATTAAATTATTAATATATCAAATATTTTTACCTGATTTTGTAGGGATTATACCGGTTAAAATGTATCTACCTCTCTATATTCAGAGTTGTATGTGATCCAATTTAAATTATTTGGACGTGAGCCAACAAACAATGAGCTAAATATATATTTTTTCGAAAAAATCCTTAATTATGTGGGTTTATTTACTTGATACGAATAGAAAAATAAATATAAACTCAATTAACTCGAATTTAAATGGAGTTAACTCAGTTAATATTTGTTTTTAGTATTTACTTTCAAATATTTTAACTAAAAACTCATTAATAGTTAGGATTTTCTTCTATATCTATGAGAAAGTGCACCCAAATGCTAATGCTAATAGAGTAGTAGCTATTTATTTCTGTCATTTAATTAATTTTACAAGAATTTTACCTTACTTGGTTTGTAGGATTTTATACCGGATAAATAAATAAAATTGTCAATAAATATCAAAAACTCTATTTATTTTTTCTTTATTTTTTTTAATATCAAAAAAATATTTTTTTGATAAAATGATTTTGTGTATTTAAAGCTAATATTTGTTTATGCATTATCAGAAATCAATACATATATATTTCGGTAAATCAACTTAATTTTTCTTGAAATACCTATTAAATAATTCTAATTAACATCACTTTCTATACCTTTTCTCGAAAAATAAGTTATGAATTTATTTATGTAAAGTTTGTCTCACGAGAGAATATCTGACAGTGACAGTGAGAGACTTATATTCATAATATGGTGTGGATTTTTAAATGTGATTTTTTGCGTCCCCTCTTACTAGTTAATTTTAATTCAATCTTTGAATACTTTGTCTTTATAAGGCATGCAGTTCGATTGGTTTGCTTATCGACAATCAAGCTAAAGTATAAAAATTAATATTCCTACTCCAGATGCTTGTTAAGGCCGATTTAATCGCGTTTGTTCTAGTCGCCTGTGACACTGTGTCGCTTCATTTGTTTATTCATCTGTCGTACCGAGTGAAAACAATGCAACCCTTTTATCAGGCAGTTAATTGTTTGGACGTGTGTACAATTGTTGTTGTTGTTTTCTTTTTGTTTTGTTTCTCTATCTAAAGAGTAGAAAGGCTATAAATTTTATTGGTTAATTTATTATTTTTGATTTTCTTAATGATTCTAACATGTATAGTGCGGTAATAAGTTAAAAAAGTTGAGGGTTTCAAGGTATAGCAATGCTCCTGAGGGTATGTTCTATCTAGACATCTGAAGACATGAATGGGGTTTCTTGTAAACCTTCAGAGATTGTCTTCAAAGTCCTCCCACTTAGGTGCGCATCCACCAAGAGACAGAAGGTAATGAGAAAGCAAATGATATAGCTAGAAAGGACACTAACTGGACCAGAACCGTTCTGCTTCCCAAGTGGAAATTCAAACCGGAACTCAAGAACTTGGAAGACTCCATCCGCAACCTGGAATAGAAATCCTGCAAACGGTCTAAGACACTCAAAGAAGTTTCTCAAGACTTACGATCGAGAAAAACTCAAAAAATTTTCCTTGATTTAAGTAAGAACAATGTCTCAGCAGATTGAAGCTGAGAAACAACGGTGAATGCAGATTCTGTAGGGAAAATGGGAAACACCATTGTTCAGTTTTCTGAGAAATTTATTAGGTTGACTGTTTCTTCAATATTGGGGATGCTTTATCAGGATTCATCTTCTTCGCGAGGATCTTCGATCATTTTCACAGACTCTACATCGGTTTCTTCTTCTTCTATCTCACCGATCACTTGACTGGACCTAGAAGAAACTTGCTCTTCTTGTTTCTCTTGTTCTGGAGATTTAGAATTATATGTACCAAGCTGAAGTTGAGAATTTTATCTCAATTTTGTTGAGGTCTTGAAGAAATACTGGTAGCATTATCTGCCTCGAAATCGTCGGTGTTGTAGGATGTCTTGGACGAGTCTCTCAGTTTCTTCAGCTTGGTGTTGTGGAACTTCAACTCTGCTCATTTCAGAGAGCGTTATTTGAGTTTTTGGTGGAGGTTCATCGCTGTTCGACAGTTTCCTCCCTCTTTCTCGCTAGGTATCTTCGAAACAATGCTCTTCACTTTGGTTTCCAGGTGCTCGAGGCGCGTTCTTCGTGCAACAGCTTCTGGTGCCATTGTAGCAGTTCTTCCATAGTTTTGCGACGTTTGGACAAAGCTTGTTCGCGCAACAACAGTTTCCTACAAGAAATCACCGAAATTGGCAGCGAATCAAAACGATGTCAAAAATGGTGTCATAAAAGGCATAGTTTCAATGAAGTTTTCACAGTGACAGATGTTCAAATTCTTCAAAAAATTTTGAAACTGTATTTATTGATATTGTAGATGTACTTTTAAAAAGACTTTTATACAGTATTTGATAAAAAGTTCCCAAAAAAAATGGGATTTTTTTATAATGAAATATTCTACAGGGTGTGTCTTAAATAAGAGCAAGACTCACCTTCAGTGATGAGTGAGTCTTCGTACCATAAACTCTGGTACGACTGACTTCGGACATGGAAAACTAACCTCTTTGAAACCTGTCAAGGTCCTGGGACTATAAGATGAGTTATAACTCAAGAAAAGGGGACACAATAGATCTGTAAGGTCGCGATGATTAACCCATTACGTTCTACTGCCTGATTACTGTGGAGGTTTTGCTTGCCCGTGCTCCCTACGCGCGCCAGTTTAATCGCACGGTTAAAACCGAGCAAAACACCCGAAGTGTATGGGTGCCTTTAGTTGGCGAAAAGAAGAGAAGCAAAACGAGGGGAGCGAACGAACGAGTGCTGTAGTGCGTCGGGTTCAAGGGATCCCCGGGTCGTTACATCAACCAGCACGGACTGTGTACGAAATACGAAGACTTGTTGTTTAGAGCGCCGCAGCCTCGAGACTCGGGAGAATAATATATACCAACTGCGACCGATTCTCGGAAAAGGATCCAAGTCTAGACCGGAGGTCGATCGGGAAGTGTAGGGCGCGATAAATGCCACGATGCCGTAGCCTATATACCATAAGATCGAAAAAAAAACGGCGTCAAGACGGTTGGGAGATCGATAATTTTGGCGAGGTCAAGCTCTAGACGTCATTTATTTAACCCTCAACTGGCGTGGTGGGGTCTAGCGGACCCCAAGCAAATTTTGAGGAAGCATTAATTGAGTGGTTTGATGAACAAGAGGCTTCAGTGAGATGAAGATCATCGAGACATTGATTTTCTCCGAAGAGTAACCATAACTCCGGTTCTGAATATATCTTACTTATAGAAGAGAGAAAATCGAATAATCAATACCAAAAAAGAAAGAGATGTGGTATATGTCAACGAAGAAATGACAAAAACACAAAAAAATCTCATGAATTAAATGTGCACGATCCATGTGCGGCAAATGCAGATCCTATATTAGCATGAACTGTATTTGAAAAAGTTAATGTACATTCAAGGTTTGCAGTTTTGTTGAAAATAATTTATGTTTATTACTTTAGTTTCACATTTCAGTTGTTTGTACTTTTAATAATACTCGTAAAATCATAAAATATATATGTTTTTAATTTCTATGGGTCTCTTTAGCCAAGTTATATTTCTGTTGTCAAAAATTCCTAAAAAATGCGTTTTACTTTATATTTTGTGTCCGTTCTTATTACTTTGTTGAAAATTGATGGAAGTGTTTGTTCGCAAGTTTGAATATATTGTAAAACAGTGTTAAAATAACAAGCTTTTATAAAATCATGTATTTTTAACTGAAAAAACTGGGTCCGTCGGAGCACTCCAGCACGCCAGCGGTACAAAAATGCACCACGCCAGTTGAGCGTTAAAAAATGACATAAAAGCTGTCAAAATTAACACTAATTCTAGAAGAATTAAAAAGTAGATATACAGTATGCCCCGGGTTGTCTTTACAAGAGGAAAACTTTTGATTATTTGACATTTTGAGAAAAATGCATTCTCCATAAATAACGTTGCTTTATTCTAAAATGGTTAATCTGTTTATACTTTTCCAAATTTCCATACCGTTTTAGAGAAAATTAAAAAAACATGAAAATAGAGTCAAATATTATATGGGAAATGCTATCGATCGTCATTTCATGGCCTATCGCTGACGCCAGTTTTATTCGATCATACAGTACTATTTCATCCCTTTGATAGATTGTTAATTTGATTGTTATTGATAAGAATTTTAATTATAACGTTATATTTTTTGCTGTTTGAAAATGTTAAAGAAGCACAACATTTATTTAGTTTAATGCTACGGAAAGGGTGATAATAGTTACAGGGAAAATGTGATACCTACTTTAACAACAGCAAAAAATATGACGTTAATCAAAATTAATAAATATGTGCATTAAAACTCCCTTATAAAGTATATACTAACTTATTACGAACCAACGGTTATATTTAAGTATTGTTTTTTGCGTGAGAATAAGGAAATGCATCTTTTTTTAGCGAAAGTAAAAAAAAAATAACAATTAGGCAATTTAATTATTATCATCTTCTTTCCGTAAATAAAAAATTTGTTCAATATACTCTAGTTTGACTTTTTTCTTCTTAATGAAACGCCTCATTCAAATTAAAAATTAATTCAAATCATGACAAGATTTGAAAAAAGATTTTCTTATAGCTTAGTTTTTCTTTGGAAACCATTAAAGTGCTTTGTTATTATTTTTCTTCATTTCAACATTCTTCTCACGGATTTTTTGCAACAAATCTTGAAACATTTTTTCTGTATAGGTCAGAGAAAAAAAAATTATTATGGTCACGTAGAAAACCCATAGGTACAATTAATACATTAATCTGGAAGTTTAAGAGCGATTTTTAGCATTTTAAAACGTAAACAACAAAGTACAAGTTAGCTTGGTCTTATGTTGGATGAGCGTATGTGTGTTAAAGATTACAGACGGAAATATGCGCCATATGTAAAAATAAACCATTACTGCCTGTACTGGTAGAGAGAAAATAGAAAACAACTAGTTCAAAAATAGCCGATACATAAATGTTAAGACTTACCTTACTAAACGAAATATTTTTTGAAGATAAAATGATATTTCCTCTGAATAGTTTCACCTAATTTATTTGTTTCCTCTGGCACTTTAGATTTTTTTGAATTGGAAACTGATGAAATTCTTATATTATTATTATCACTGGAGTCTATGTGGCAACCACCACGCCGAGAAATGTTTCATTATTAGGATGGTGGGTGGTCTAAAGTGTGCCTCACTGGGACGATAATTTTGAGGAAGCATTAATTGAGTGGATTTGATGAACTTAAATAGGCTTAAGTGAGATGGAGATCATCGAGACATTGATTTTTTCTCAGAAGAGTAACAATAACTCCTGGATTCTGAATCTCTTTACTTATAGAAGAGAGAAAATTGAATAATCAATACCAGAAAAAGAAAGAGATGTGGTATATAGCCGAAACCATATGTCAATGAAGAAATGACAAAAACAAAAATTTCATGAATGAAATGTGCACGATCCATGTGGGGCAAATGCAATCCTATATTAGTACGAACTGTATTTGAAAAAGTTATGTACATTCAAGATTTGCAGTTTTGATGAAAATAATTTATGTTTATTACTTTTAACTTCACATTTCAGTTGTTTTGTACTTTTTAATAATACGGTAAAATCGTAAATATATGTTTTCAATTTCTATGGGTTTCTTAGCCAAGTTATATTTCTGTTGTCAAAAATTGCTAAAAAATGCGTTTTACTTTATTTTGTGTCCGTTCTTATTAATTTGTTGAAATTAATTATAAACCATTTGTTCACAAGTTTGAATACATTGTAAAACAATGTTAAAATAACAAGCTTTTTATAAAATCTCTTCATCATGTATTTTTAACTGAAAAATAAATTGGGGTCCGTGGGACCCCAGCACGCCATAAGCGCTACAGAAAAAATTCACCACGCTAGTTGAGGGTTAAAAGACGAACTAAAAACCCTTTTCTACGATTTAATCATCCTGTATCTCTTCTGCTTTAAGTGATTCCCTTTGTAATGTTCATTTTGTAGGAGATACTGAAAATCATCGATTTTTGAAAGTCTTTGATACCAAAATATGTTTTAGAATGTCAACAAGAGTATGAAGCGGTATATTGTGCTGGAAATTTAACTAAAATAACTCTTTGGTTTGTTTGTTATCTCTTAAGAACTTTGTCAATATCGTAGAAGATAAAGATTATATATGCGTATGTTTATATTATATGGCAGTATGCCAGAATACCTACAAGAACTGGTAGGTTTAACATAACATTATACAGGGTTGTTCACCACATACGACACGGGTATTGTAGCTAAACGATTTTCTAGATTTTTACAAATTGTAAGTTTTGGGTTTGTTGAAGGACTATTAGAGCTACAATTTAAAAATATTTTTGTTAAGATACCAGAGTGTCCCAAATAAATAAAAATATCAAAGTTGTATTTTTTTAAATGGAACACTCTGTATATTATTGCATTTTTAGTTTCTACGATTAAAATAAAGGTAAATTTGATTAAGGTTTATTACACTTAAACTTTGCCGTTTTTGAAATATTTTCAGTTTTGCGAAATTGCAGTATAAATTTTAAGGCTTCGTTTCTCCGAGGATATCAAAGTTTTTAATACTAAATATTTACTGAAGTTTATTTATCGATCAGTTATTGTGTTGCAATAATAAAAATTATACTACCTTATACAGAGTGTCTAAAATTTTATTTTAAATAATTACTAGATTTAAACGGCAATAACTTATTTACATTAAATAGAACACCCTGTATATTTTATGAGAACCAGATGCACAATTTAATTGTCTATCAAATTGTATTATACCACTTACTTATTATTCTTCAAGTTTTCGTAGAAAATGCATTTTCTTATAATTTAGACCCCATTTATCAATATACCCATGGAATATTGACATTTTAGATTGTTTTTAAAACAACAAATGTACAAAATGTACAGGCTAGTAATATTATCGTTTTTAGTAAAACGATAATATTACTAGCCCATTTGTAATTTGTATGCAAAAAGAAAACTATTTAAATCTTTATAAAAGAGTATACCATTAATTAAATATACCACCAGTATTTCCGCCCAAATACTAATTAACTTTATTCTAAATAAATGTGGATTTAAATCAGAAATCAATATAATAATAAGTTATGAAAATGAACGTCTCTGTTGTTATAAATAGGCATTTGTCGAAAAATTAAATATCATTTTTAAGGTGTTACTTTTTAACACACTGTCTAATACACATACATAAGTCAGCTTTTTAGTATTTGGAGCAAGTATTATTAATCAACGGAAACAGTCAATTAATGTAGTTGAATACTGGAATCATATTAATTGGTCCTCTTTAACAAATATTTAAACAGTTTTTTTAATGAAATAAACGAACTATATCGACAATATTAGTATCTGTACTCTTTAAAAATTTGGGTCATCTTTAGAAATAATCTAAAATGTCAGTATTCCATGGGTATATTGATAAATGGGTTCTAAATTACAAGAAAATTCATTTTCTACGGAAACTTGAAGAGATAGGTAAAAAATAGTAATACAATTTGATAGACAATTAAATTGTGCATCTGAATCTCATAAAATATACTGGGTGTTCCATTTAAATTAAACAAATTATTGCCGTTTAAAGCTAGTAATTATTTAAAATTAATTTTTAGACACTCTGTATAAGGTAGTAAAGTTTTTATTATTGCAACACAATAACTGATCAATAAATAAACTTCAGTAGATATTTAGTAATAAAAACTATGATACCCTCGGAGAAATGAAGCCTTAAAATTTATACTGCAATTTCACAAAATTGAAAATATTTCAAAAACGGTAAGGTTTAAGTGTAATAAACCTTAATCAAATTTACCTTTATTTTAAGCGTAGAAACTAAAAATGTAATAATATATAGGGTGTTCCGTTTAAAAAAATACAACTTTGATATTTTTTATTTATTTGGGACACTCTGTATTTTGTAAAAATATTTTTAAATTGTAGCTCTAATAGTCCTTCAACGAATCCAAAACTTACAATTTGTAAAAATCTAGTCGTTTAGCTACAATATTTCGTGTCGTATGTGGTGAACAACCCTGTATTTATGGGGATTTATAAAATATAAATAGGGTATAGCCACAGTATAGCCTAAATCTTGTTTGGGATATTGTATATTTTAAATTGGATCTATTTTTGTGGTGTCAGCAAATTTTTATAGGCTATTAAGGCAATGGAAAGGCAGATGAAAAGACCAAACAAGGCTGATCAAATCGAATCATTGTGTTGTTCTATTCTTAGCTATTCCATTCATAGACGTATGTACATAGAAACAACTGCAAGGCGCCGGGTATTAGATATACACGGCCAAGTATGTTATTGCGATGGAATAAGAACAGCAAATTATACAGGATGTTGCCGATAACGAGACCAGCCTGTAATTTATCTTTCCAAGGAGAAAGTCAGAAAGAATTCTTCGTTACGTGTTGTTTCGATTTTATTTTGATCATCTTTATTTGGTTCCCTCCATCTTACACTTGGTCAAACTGCTATTTCTGCTAATTTTTAATAATTTTAAGTAGGAGAAGCAATTTTTAGAAACTTAATAAATTAGTGGTTTCAATTTTTGGTACAAGTTTGTTCCTCTAATTTGAATGTAAGCATTCAGAACGTCAAAATTAGTGGTAGGAATTTTCAATTAGTGGAAAAAGTTAACAAAAATCCGTTTGCCAAAAATAAGCTTTTTACGTCAAGCAGTTTAAGCAGAATCGTGGTTAAGAAATTACCCAACTTTTTGGAACACCCTGTATGATTTTTTAAAAAAATTCAAAATATGTAAAAAAACCAAATAAATTATGCTTGTGCAAGCGTTTTCCCGAAAGACTAACCGTTTTTCAAATAAAAAATATTGTAATATTTGAGGGGCGTTTTCACCCTCTTGGAATTTGAGATTCGAGAAACCCCTCCTGATCGAACCTCTACACCCCACAGTCAATTCGTTTGCCAAAAATCAGAATCGTGATTACTCAATGGTCATATTTTATGAAACATCCTGTATAAATTTATAAAAAATCTTAAAATATGTAAAACAACAAAATAAAATATACGTGTTTAAGAGTTTCTCCGAAACTCTATCAGGTTTTTAACAAAAATATTTTAATATTTGAGGAATTAGTTTCACCCCATTAGAATTCGAGTTTGACAGTTAATTATTAAAATATAAAAACCAAATGCTCAAAAAAAAACTGTATGATCCAACAAATTTTTTGTCTTAATATGCTCTATTTACAGTAATCTTTCTAAGAAAACAAAGAAAAGTGTGAAATTCCGAGGTACCTAAAGTTTACTAGAACCATTTTTTTATTATTTTATATATTTTTTTAATTTTTGTTTAGGAAAAAAAGATATATAAAATAAAAAATGCCTGACGCACCATGCATACCCTGTAAAATATCCAATAATTTTCATTTTGGATCAATCTATACAAGTAAAATACTTGAAAAACTGCTTCAGACATAATCAACAAGTTCGAAGTTTTTTTATGTCAGCACTAATACTCTTTTTTCTTTACTTTTCTGTTATTTATACATTTTTTCTTAATGTTACAGAGTGTGTATATTAAAAGTTAATTAATTTAAAATATTTACCTAAACTTGAAGGAATCCCTTAATTCAGCTAATGTCTTCAATGCATCCACAAACATATTTGAACAATTTGCCCCCGCTACATCGAACATAACTCCAATAATATGCAATACTTGACTCCATGTATTATTGTATTGATAATTAAGGCACGAATGGATAATATTAAAACACTTCTCTAATTTTGAAAAATGTTTTTGAACTGAATCTGTAGTTTCTGTTGCTGGTCCAACAATATCTTTTAAAAGGACCTATAAAAATAATTACTGTGTAATTTTGAATCTATCTAACTAAGATTTTAATGTATCTACCTCAAGACAATGTGTTGCTGCACTAATTACATCACTTTTTCCAGTTAACCACAGTTCAGAAACAGTAGTAAAAAATTTAGGCAGTAAACTCATAGCGATTGAAATATCTATATCAGCTAGATGAACATGAGCTTCTTGCATTACCAGTAACCAAGCCAATGTAGGTTGTATATCAGTGCTCCCTGGTTGATATTCATACAAAGCTGCGATTAATTTACCATTTAAATCACCAGAAATCACAGCTTGTTGTGAAGAGAACAGTGAGTGCATCACTTGAAGACCACAGGATGTAACAATAGGATAATTTAAAGTCATTAGTCTCAATATAGTTTCACAGGATTTTTTTATATGTCCTTTACTAAAACTTTGTATAGTTTCTTTCAATAATCCTAGAGTATGCAGGATGGTAGTTTGCCCAGCTTGAATAGATTTTTTGCTGGAACTACCTAAAATATCTTGACAAAATTCTGCACATTTGTCAGCTGGAACATTATGAACCTGGTTGTTTAAAAAGCATGGTGCTTTAACAATGCCTGCTACAGCATTTTGAGCTGCTTTCCGCCATTTAGGTTTCGAATGAATACAAAAAGGATTTAGTATAGCGTTAAAAATTTGTTTGGTCGTGTCGTGACTCCATATTGCCGCTTCTTGAGCCCTTAAAACTGTAAGATTCCTAGGTTGATTTATAATAACGTTGTTCTCTGTTGAAAAGTCTTTAATATGAGCAACAGTTTGAGTGTAATATCGTTGAAATGTTTCCCTAAGCACTGCATCAGGCACTGTTTGATTCCAATATTTAAAGAGCCAGAACTGCTGTTATTTTGTTCTTCTGTTCTTTCTTCGTTGTTATAAATTGTCTCCAAATGGTGAGGAAATTGAACAGTAATACTCCGTGGATGTTTCTGATCCACCGTTTTGTTTAATTACCTCAGTTATGGCAGCAAGAATAGCAAGCATTTGCTTGTGTAACGCTGAATCCGCATGGAAAGTCTTCATAAATTTGTTATAAGACATGTTGCTACAATCTGACCACTCCGATGCAAAGGATTGCATGGATTGGTATGAGCTATATGATCCCAAACTGCTTTCAGATCCATCTTCAGTAGGTTCAATGTCCATTCGTGTACTTTTCACACTATTAAACATTTGCAGTGCATCGTGTTTTTTCAAAGTGTCAGTCGTTAGAGAGCTTGGTCCAAGATTTACCTGGAAAAACCTACTTTTAGCTTGATCTCTGTATTTCTTCGTCTCTGGATTTGAACTAGAGCTCTGCCCTTTGGCCCATCTTTTCCCTTTCGTTTGCCCTTTTAGTTTGCTTCTGAATCGGCCCATTTTTCAGTTTTGTCTATAATAAAATCGTTTTTAAAGCATATATCTTTACGCATATAACAAAAGCCTTGTATATATAATTTTTATACAATTGTACTTACATTTCTGGCTAATTATTGTAATTTTCTTCAAGAACAATATGATTTTATTATCATTTGTATTAATAATAAAAATCCATTTAAAAATCTTAGGTTAAGATCACTACACGTGCCTAAATGTCAAAATTAGAGTTGGGGAAAGTGTATCGAAATTTTGGAAAATATCGATATTTGGTCAGGAATATCTAGGGAGAGGCTTGTAAAAAACTAACGTAAAAAAGGGTTTCGACGTGTAATAAACTAGATCACTTTTTATTTTATATTCGTTATTAGCAATAACGCTTTTAACAAAATTAAATATCTTATCTACGTAATAAATTAAGCTAAAAATTAAATAATACACATTTTTACACAACCATTTATTAAAATTATATTAGTTTTAACAATAACAATAAATGTATATTTATACTAAATATTATATTTTCGTTATTCCTACGTTGTGCTACTTATTTATTTTTGTAAATATAACTGTATTGAATATTTTTTCATGTCAAAATTAGTCAGAAATTAAAAAAAAACGCTTAAAAAAATATATAGGAATCTCCAAACTTTATACTTATGTTGTTCAATGTTTTCACAACTTTTAACAAGTTATTACAAATAATTATGTGTATAAAGATTTTTTCTTTAAACATTTTCTTTGTTTTTGCATAAAAAATACCGAATCATTGAAAACTGCGTCAATGACGTCTAGAGATTGACCTCATAAAAATTATCATCGATTATCAGGTTTCCCCAGCCGTCTTTGACACCGTTTTTTTTTCGATCAGACGGTATAATTTGTCTATAAACTATAGTAAATTTATTGGTAACCAGAAATTAACAAGAATACCAAATTAACAAAAGATTATTAATTGTGTATTAATAATTTTTGAACATTTTAATATATAGAGACGATGAATGATAACTATACATTAACTATTACTTCTAAATATTAAATTAATACGTTTACAATCCATTTCACAAGGAATGTCTATTAAGATCAATATGTACCTTCAATTATGTAGGATAGAGGTAGAGTAAGGCGGGGCAAAAGTCTGATGTTAGTTTTCGATAAGTGTAAACTTTTAAAGATATCAATTCAAATTTTCACAAATTTATATATGACTTTCTTAAACCTTCCTCTTTACAAGTTTACAAGAAAAACCTGACAGAATAATTAATCACATTTTATTGGCTGAAAAAATTTAGAGTGTTGAAAAATGGGACTTTTACACCCCATAAATGGGGCAAAATCCTAGAAGGGCAAAGTCTCACTAGTAAAAATATAAATCATTTAGTGCCACACCCTGAATTTAAAATGTGTCTGATTCGTTATTCAATCTTCCAGCAAAGATACCTTCTTTTTCTTTTTTTATTTTCTCTTCTTCAGAGTCTTGAAGCACTTTTCTTTGTCTTCGTTTATCTCCTTCTAATTTTCTCTGACGTTCCTCTTCCAGACTTTTTATTCGAGTAGATGTTAATATCTTAGATTTGTGACTCTTGCTTTCACGACGATATTCTTATTTTGGATAAGGAACTATGTCCTTGAGTTGAATAGTTTTTTTCAATTGTGGCTTCCAGGTTAATTAGAGGCACATTATCATCTTCATCTGAGAGTTGAATGGACATCACTATTTGTTTGTTTATTTTGAACATATAAACCCGATGTTGATGGTTGTGATGAAGATTCTCAGTTAGAGTAGGAACGTGTGCAATTGGGTTTATGGCATGTTGTGGTTGGTTGATCGGTTACGCTACTTGGAAGAAAGTCTTCTTCAAACTATGTTTGTCGATAGGCCATATTCCGCTTTAAAGTTTCAAACCCTTTGACGGCTCTTCAATAGACGCAGTTTTCATACGCTTTTGCAAAAAGTCCCGCCACTTGATATTGTGTGATTATTCTGCCAGGATGTGTGCTCATCCATTGTTCACAATAATTACCGCGGCATGAATCGCTAAAACGAAAACTGTGCGATCAGGGGCTGCATTTATGACTGGAATGTGGGGAGTAGCTTAAGATAATATAATTATTTTTTGCATAAGGTTACCTCCGAAAGAAATGCGACGAATGATTTATCTAATATTAATAGAGACTGATTTTCGGCAGACGATTCTGACATGTTTCTTGAAGTGTTTTCATTGGACAAATAATTCTGAGTTGACATATCCTGACTCAGAGACGAACAATGTAGCTTCCGGAATGCATCCATCCATAAGCTCAGCTTTAGGACGCTTTCGAGGAAAAATTAGTGCCGGTGGAACGTACTTTCCACTGGCGCTCATGTAACAAATTGCCATCACAGTCTGACCTCTTTCTGCCGACGAAACTAGAAACGCATCGTTTTCCTCTAGGTGTCAATATCTCAGGAGTTTTGTTTGGCACGGTCGTGATTCCTACCTCATCGGCATTAAAAACACAACCTGCGGTAAAATTTATTTTTGTAGTTATGTCTTCTAAATTTTGAAAAAATAGATCGACTTGAGCTTTATTGAAACCCATTATGCGCCCCACACTAATTTCTTGGGGGATTCTGAGTGAAAACTTGTATCTTTTGGCCGAACGATAGCGCCCAATTCTTTCTCGCAGTTTTCGTTTCCTTATTAAATTTGTGTTGGATCCTATTCCGTTCAGCAAATTCATAAGCAAGACTTCTAAGCCTTAAATATGTCAATCCATAAAATCTCGCATCCATTTGATGGCAATGTTCAGCTAGGATATTTTCTTGTTCTGGCGTAAAAGTCGATTTGAACTGACCCAAATGTTCAACTCCAAACCCCTTCTTCATTCTTTTCCTCAAGCCAGACTCGTCAACCCCAAAACTATCTGCAATCCTTTTTCGAGATTCTCTTCCGCCATTCTCTTCTGAGCTTCATTAACCATGTCTTGAGTTATAGGTTTTCTAGTTGACTTTCTTTTATATGTCCTGAAAAGAGGGGGTAAAACTATTATTTATATTTAAAATGACCTAATAGTTTATACGGGGCAAAAGTCCGGAGTCGGACATTTACCCCGGGGTAAAAGTCCGACTTCGGACTTTTGCCCCATATCGACTTTAGGACTTTTGCCCCAATCGACCTCAACAATACAGCACATTATTACTAGAAGAATAAATCAATGCCCGCCAAATATTTATAGGTTAGGTTATGCCGTTAAGAGTGGAAAATACTTATTATGCACTGCGTTAATATCGTTCATAAGTTATTGTCGCAATCACACTTTAAAAAACAAAAAAAATAATAGGAGACTGTTATAAAAATGTACTTACCTCATTTTTTCCGACAAACGCGATCTAATCAAGACACAAAGATAAAGAAGGAAAAATCAAATGATGATTTCCTTAAAAGTCAAGCCGCAGCGACATCTCATCACCAATGCCCGCAATATTAGATGAAGGACTTTTGCCCCGATAGGACTTTTGCCTTACTCTACCTCCCTACCCTCGTAAATAAAAAACATTGAATCGTTAATCGTTGCCACAAGGGATGTTACTACCTAAAAATTTGGCACGAAATTTAGTACATTTAATATGAAGGAGAATGTTGCATTATTTGTAATTTGCCTGTAATATTTAATTTTTAAATAATATCGACCTTAAATAGCAAATCTTTAGTGAAACTTGTGTTGTATAATCCTTTTAATATTACCCCCAGAGATATAGTTATTCAAATTTTACCTTAAAATATTAAGCGTACATGTAAGATACTTTGTTATTATCTATGTCTACACGCTAAAGAAATAACAACTGTACAAATTAATATTATCATCAACAGGAAGCCATTCCATTTTGTCTATGACTTTTAAAAAATTTGTTTAATTGTTTACAAAAAAATATTTACTTAAATTATTTATTACCTTCTTTTTTAATTCGATATATTAATTGCTTTTTTATTTAAATATATGTTTAAAGTCTATATTAACATTTACTTACTGTAACTTTTATTATTATTATATTTATTTTTATCTAACATTTATATTTTGTTATTTATGTTAAATAATAGCCATGGTATTTTTATTTTGGCTTATATACTCTATAATACCTATTCTACGTTAAAACGATTAAAAATATTAAAGTCTGGTAAATTTTTCTATGTACTATTGTTGTAATTTTCTATCTATATAGTTTTATATTTTATAAAAGGAATATTCAGTCTACATTATTTCAAATAGAAGACTATAGTTCATATCAAATAAACTTTAGTCGTGATTAAGCTTGACCGGCACAGCGTTGCTCACTTTTACTTATTTTCTTTTAATCAAAATATTTTAGGAAACAAAAATAAATTAATTATAAATATATAAACAGGTTTTATATCTACATCAACAAAACTCACCTCATTACAACAGCACTTAAGGGATATAAAGGGCCATTACTACCGCTTTTATATTCAAAATATTCTAATAAGGTTGCGATGATTTTTTTGCAACGGTTATTAAGCTATTTTGTACATTTCGCACTATAAAAGGTGCTAAAAAGAATAATGTCCGACTGCTAGTAAAAAATTTTAAGCTTAAAGTATCACAACACAATTCATTTAAACCAAGAACCTGCAATACAAAACTAAAGTGTTAAAACGAATGATAATGTCAAGAAATAAATAAATGTGGCAACTTGACTTTTTTACGCTTAGGCTACCACCTGAATCCCCAGCGGGAGATTTTAAATTCAGTTAGTCAATACCCGGCTGAACACTAATCCAGGGTTGGCATAAATTTAAAAATCGCGCCCTGGTTACGTAATAAAGTTTACTTAGTATCGGATATATATGTTTACTTATTTGGACTTAACAATTCCTAAAGTATTTTTTAAAACGTCAAGAAAATAATTTAATATTATGTGCAAATATAAAAAATACAATCAAAGTATTCCGCTTTCACAAAATTCTTATTTCCAGCATAAGAAAATGGCGTTTCTGACGTTTTATACATATGAGTGATGTTTTTTTCGTATAACACAAGAACGATCTGCGTTGTACCTACATGTATACACTGTGAACAAAACAATACTAACAGCACTTATGTTTGTCAAATTTCTTATTAAAAATAGTTTTTGGTCCACAGGTAAACTTTAAAATAATAACGTCATATTTTTACAATTTTAATACAACAAATTTACATCAAAGTTAGTATTTATTTATTTGACACACGATAATTGCTATAGACGTTGCGGTACTTCATAGTTCATAAGACAATCGGTTAATCCTTAGAAATGACACAAACTATATTAAAATAATTTTTTAATTATAGTACTAACTTTTCAATCAAAGTAACATGCTATAAGCATGTTTAAACAATCTGTTTTGTAAAATAAATTAAAATACCGTACGATCGAAAAAAACTGGCGTCACAGACGGCTGGGGAACGATGATCGATGATAATTTTGGCGCGGTCAAGCCCTATACGTCATTTTCTTGGCCTTAAGAAGGTTGTAATTTATTTTTTTGCCGAGAAAAAATATTTTTTCGGAAATAGATTTATTTATCTGGGGAAACGTTCTTTTTTTTAATCTTTCTATAGTCAGTGCTTGGTCAGTGTTTTTCTATAATCATGGTGGTCAATTTTTAGTAGTGTGACGTCCGTAGATTGACCTCGGCGAAATTATCCTCCAGTCCTCTTTGACGCGTTTTTTTTTCGATCATATGGTATATCACAATAATAATTTTTAATATGATTTGTTGTAAGTAAAGAAAATGAATGTAACGATTTATAGTACTCAGTCTTGAATAACTTACGTAATTAGACGTAGATTAACTAAAATTGAGTTGAAATACCCTGTAGATCTGGATTATTATTGCCTTGATATTCTCATTTTTCGTCCGATTTGTCTACTGTGACATAAACTGGTTTATACAAAACTATAGGTTCCCTGAAATATTCAATAGTTATCAATTTTAGTAATATACAAACTAAACATTCATTACTGATCTTGCTATACCTTAAATAATGTTCATTTCCATCATATACTTGACCCAGCAAAAAATCGGGTGCCAAATATTGACCTCCCTCCACATGAGAACACGCATGTTCTAATAAAATATTAAATTAAAAAAAAATAATATCTAAAAGTCATAATACTAAGTTCTAAATATAAAGCTACTACTAAAATCTGTCCAACGAATCAAGGAAGATTTCGACAGAAGACTGATCCAAAAAAAAGACAGAAAATACTATTTAGCTGTGAGTTAAAATGACAGTTGGACAGACTATACCATCCTGGACAATTCATTTGCGTGGTCTGTATTTTAATGCATGCGACAGGGATAAATATAAATGACCGGTTGACAGACAGAGAGACAAAATAATAAAAACGGCATACAGTGTTGCCAGTTTTTACGTTTGTAGGGAAACGTAAACTACTGAAATGAAGATAATATATCTAAGCTAAATATAATCCAATTACAGCTATAATAGTAAAATGAGTAACTAATTGTGAAAAATAAAGTTCCAACCCTAGATGCAACATTTTTCGTAAACGCCGTCCAAAATCCGGCAATACCGCATAGAATAAATATATCAACCCAACTGTTATCTCTTTTTAATACATTTGATTTTTCATTAAGCTGTCTACATCACTGTCTTAAGCTTGATTTACACGTATCCGTTATCCGTTGATCTAAGATTCAACGATGCTCTGATTGATCATAGCGTTTTCGCGCCACTTTTCATCCTTAAATTTTTTACTCCAGCCCGTCAACGGAGAAAAAACGTATGATAACGGACGTTTTGACACTTTTTTGGCAAATTTAATCTAACCTTAATAAAAATATAATAGAAAAAAGGGAATTTTAAAAGCGCTGGTTCTTTAATATATCTCTTGCTATGCCTGACTAAAGTGCGTGTCGTCTGGCTGCCGGTAGACTTCTCTGCGCATCACATCTGTACAGGGTATCCCATTTTCGTATGTTTTATGGGATTTCTCGTTTATGAGTACAGATACAATGATGCGATTTTCATATTACTTTGCTACTTTTTTATGAACTAAATATGCTACAAATAGGTTTGTCCTAACCTCATAGTTTCTGAAATACAGGGCGAATTTGTGATGCGCAGTAGTGAACACATCAATGAACAGGCACGAAATTCAATAAATTTAAAACTGCGTAATTTTCTAACGAATCGAAGTCTTTGGTTTGATTTTCATGCATCGATTTGTCCGACGATACGATGATACGATATTAATTTTATTGGTTGAATTTAAATGCTTCGGTGGTTAACCGTTTCTAACCAATCGAAGTCTTTCAATTAACCAATCAAATCGTATCATCTATCGTCAGACAAATACATGAAAATCAACTTTACGATTAAATCAGACCACACGGTTTTAGCCGGAAAGATCGGTATAAGTATATAACAAAAATATAAGTGTTTTATAGATAGCAAAATAAAACACTAAATCACCACAATACACGAAAACACTTTTACTTTTACAATAGACGCGCGTTTCTCTAACCATGTTAGCATCACCAGCAGATGATCAAGTCTCAAAAAAGAGTCTTGATCATCTGCTATTGTTTTATTTTGCTGTGTAATACCAAAGGTTCCAACTCCCAACTGTAATCGTTTTATAGATAATTAGGAAATTTATATATCATGTACTTACCATATTTTATAACTGGATTCTTATCGCTATTTGGTATTCTAAAAGGAACAGTACCAATGGTAACCGGTAAACTGACAGTCACTAAGTCTGGTTCTTTCAAAGTGTCCAGGCTTACCTGCATATAGAAAATATTAAATGTAGTACTCAGATTTTTTTTGCGTCTCTCTCTCAGTCTTTTTCTCCCCTTTCTCTCTATTTCTCTTCCTTTTTTCTCTGTCTTTCTCGCAGACTATAGAATAGAAAATTATCCACCTACCGTTAATACGTAATATATCTGGATCAGTCGACAAATTCCTATTAGAGTGGTTGGCACAGGAGGAATCACTAGCACGTTGCTACTGTCCCATTTAATTCTTTTCTGAGCTTTAACAGGATTTCCTCTAAAATATATATATTTTTTAAATTTATAGGATTAAAATACAGCAAAAATTAAGAATAAGTTTCTGTAAATGGTGGTTTTTTAACCTGACTATGTAATCTGGGGTGAGTGTTAAATAAGTGTAAATATTTTTAAGGCTGGTAGATTTCGATAAAAATATTTTCTCTTTACCGTTTTCAGAGCCAATTTCCAAAATAACCAATTTTTTGCTAAAATTTTGAGAACCACTGGATATCTTTTTTTGGATTTTCTTTCTTGTAAATTTAATGTACGACTTGCCATATTATCAAAGTGAGTTTTAACCAAAAACTAAAAAAAATCAATTTATTTAAAAAAAAAATCCAAATTTAGAAAAAATTCGCGAGAAAAACCTCATGATCCTGTTTTTGGGGTCGAAATATACTACTTAATTAAGACTCACCCTCATATAAGTCGAAATTATTTATATTGCTATCGTTGAATGAAGAAATAAGATGCGCAACCTTATGGGCAATTTCGTGGCACAAAATGTATGAGATTTAGTTTACCACTGCGCCGCTGCGCGCTGAAAGTTGTTTACAGCGCAGCGGATAAAGAATACTGTCCTGTAGTTCTGCTTTCAGTCGACAGAGTGAGTGGTAGCCGGAGAACGTTGCCAGAACTACTAATTATCCGTAGATTTACAGATTTTGGGTATACGTTAATAATACGGATTTTCTATCATTAAACAATTTAATATAATATTATATAATTAAACAAAGAACGGCGTCAAAGTTGGCTTGAAAATCAAGATCGCTGTATGTTATTTCATATGTAAAATATTATGGTAAATGTCAATAATCGTCATTTCCAAGCCAACCAAACAACTTTTCTCGATCATACGACATATTCAGTACCTATAAAAGAATTTTTATTTTTGTTGTTTATTCTATGTTTAACACGAATAAATTTTCAATACATAAACGCGGATTTTTCATCAAATATTTTCGTCAAACATTACAGATATTACACATTTTAATATGGCAACATTGGATATTCCTTCGCTGGCCGAAGATTAGAAAATAAATGTTTAATATGCGTTGACCGCAAGAACGATTGGTCTCCACCGTACGGCACATGAGACGCGAAATCAAATTAGCCAATCACCCATTAGGTTTGCACTGGCTTTTAATTCAACAAAATCAAAAAAAGATTTCTATATCGAAATACTTTTCTGGCTTACCTATATTCAAAAACTACTTGCTTTTGGTCCTTTGAAGCTCCCAATACGCCCCTATCTATAAAGTACTCGCATATTTGCTCTAACCTAAAACATTTCACCGTTTCATTATCCATTAGTTTTACTTACTAGGGTTATAGATAATTGAGAAACTCACCTAACTCGTAGTTTTACTTCTTCTTCCCCCTGATTGTCAATGGTAGCCTTTAGTTTGATACTTTCCCTGCAGACGTAAGCAGACCGTTCAAGGACACATCTTAGAGAGACTGTACCCTTTTTGCAACACCAACAACACGTAGATCTCTTACTTTCCAGTATAGCAGGTTTCTGTAACATAGAGAAGAACTATAGTTTGTCCAGCGAAAGTTTCTATCACAGTGATGATTGTTTATTGTCTGTAATTTCGATTCGGACATGGAGAACTAACCTCTGTAAAACCGTCTCAGATACTGGCTTTTTTCAAAGCCCTGAGACTGTATGATGAGTACTGAGACTCAAGAAGGGGGGACATAACTTCATTAGTTAGTATTGAATTAATCTATGAAGTTGTTTATTCTGGTACTTATGCTTACCAAATAATGTTCGTCCATACAGTCTATATGAGGCCCTATAACAGTGAAGTACTTCATGCCCTGTGGGGGACTTGCATACGGTATATCTATGGTAACTTTGAAGTAGTACCGGATCTGGCCGGGTCTGCTCTCGAAAGAACAGGGTAGGTTTGACTCAGGAAGAGAAAACCTAGAATAAAGAATCTATAGGTATACATTTCATTGTATCAACTGGATATAACATTCAATAATTGTTGGTCGAACTATATAAGCCAAAACGACGAAAGTATCGTAAAAATGAATAAATAAACATAAAGCCTAATAAAATATTCTGTATCATCCTAATATGTTCTGCGCAGTACGAGTCTCATGGACTGCGCATTACATGATTTGAATAAAGTTGATTTAAATAAAAAAAACTTACTTGAAAGGAAACTTATGAACTCCCCTAGGTAATATCGGTATGGTAGACTCTAAATTCTTTTCCCCCCATATTGTTTGACGCTGATCGACAAAGTACTGATCTTCTTTGACCTTCGAAAATATTTTTTTTTATATTTTATTGTCAAAGATGTCAGTAGTAGTATAACTTACAGTTCTCCGATCTCCAGATAACAATACCTTCCATTCTGCATGTGCTTTACCTCTTAGTATAACTCTAATAGCTAAAAAAAATCGAAAATTTGTTTTTGAAAATTAGAATAAAATTATTTTTATTATTTTATTATTAAGACTTACTTCTTAATTTAAAGTTTTCTACAGTGTCCAGGATAACTGTACCGCATATACTCTCCCCAGCATAGTAGTGTTCTTTCTCTAATTGTATATCAACTCTCTAATGTAGTCCATTATATTATTTTTGCTAATTCAATGCATTTAGCTGGTTTAAGCTAACAGAGCTTTAAGCTACCTGGAGTACTTTATTGTTGTAAACATTTGTTCTCAACCATGAAAAAAAAATCATACATATCTTACCTATAGAAAAATGAACGTATCCTAGAATATCTTTGACACAAAATTTGTAAGAAAATTTTGCAATTCAACATTTACTCGACTTATAAAGAATTTTAGCTACTTTTTGACTTTTTTGTCTGCTTAATAAATCCAGGTAAAGACTCTCTTGATTCGGATATTTTCGTATGTCAGCTGTTTTTCGGTTGGTTATTGATTAAAGGAAAGGAAAAACGCACGCCCGCGTCTGATTGGTTATTTATTTGCGGTGATTTCAAAATAAATAGGAATAAATATAGAAATATATGGGTTTTCCATTAATATAATAAACAGAAGATAGTAATGTGTTTGTTTAGTTACGTTTAATATTAAGGCTCGTACACACATAACGTTCTGTTTGTCAGGTAAAACGTTTTAATGACTAGTTAGTTAGTAGTTTTTATCAATAAATAGCATTGTGTTTAGTAAGTATAGTTGAGAAGAAAGAAAATCTCTTGAAATTTTACTACAAAATTGTATTTTTATGGTTTAAATTTTGAGATGTTCTATTTTTATTTGTTGAATATTAATAAAAAAATATAAAGTTCTTGATTATTATTTTAAAATCAACCTTAGTACCTATATTATACAGGGTCGCTGATATGTATGAGAACGGTCGATTATTAGATAAAATATACGAGGTACCGCAAAAAGTTAAATATAAAAGTTATAGGGTTTTACATTATTAATTTTGAATTGAAATATGCAATTATATATATATATATATATATATATTATTGCATATTTCAATTCTTCCTTCAATTTTAAGCAATAATCGTCATACACATAATGTACCTAAATTACCTAACCTAACCTAACCGAATTATGAGGTTCTAATTATAAAATGTTAAACGAAAATTTTGTAATTTCCAGGCTTGATATAATATCATTTTATACATCCATAAATGCTAACTTGAAAACGAATGTCAAATATTATTAGGTATCATAGTTTCCGCAGAATGGCAACGTTAAATGAAACCGAACACATCGAAATTAATTAAATCGAATTGTTAAGTGATCTTTTCAAAAGTCAACAACTCGGAAACGGTTGGTGTGAGGTACATTGTGTGAATCGCGATTAGGGTTCCATTTAAAAAAAATAAACTTTGATGTGCGACGACTTTCTGGTCCACCTTGTATACTTAAGTTTATTACTCGCTAATAGACCTTTAAAAACCCTATAACTTTTATATTTAACTTTTTGCGGTACCTCGTATATTTTACTTAATAATCGACCGTTCCCATACCCCCATATCAATTAACCCTGTATAAATAAAAACCTGCTGTTTGAAGAAAATCTATTTAAGAAAAGCTACCAATTTCTTATAAAATTATTTTATTATAAAAAAATCACATATAATAAAAATACACTTGGTAATGAAAAATATAATAGTTTATAAATATAGGTGTTCTTTTTTTAATTCGTCAAACCTTAGGTCATAAAACATGATTATTACGATATTGTCATTAACTCTAAAAACATAATAATATACGTTATAAAACGAATACAAGCAACAAGCTAAATATATAAAGTATATACCTACCTATATAAAATTGTACAAAAATATGCATATAAAGAGTTTTTAATTTCTTTGAAAAAATATTTTTAGGCACTTTAAAAAATGTATTATTTAAATTTTATATTTTATAGCCTTTTAGTATGGCTTACACTAAACGATTTGATTTTTTGGGCAGTATAGTTTAGGATTAAGTGTATCACAAATATGTTTTATAAAAGTGTATTACGCTACAGTCAATTGTTTACGTTGTTCTGCCATTTTTTCTTTTGTGCTGATCCAGACCGAGGCAGAATCATAGTTTCACTTTTGTTATAAAAAGTCAAAAGTGGGGGGTGCAGTAGAAGGCCTTGATTATATGAGTACGAATCCATTCTGTAATCAAAAATAAACCAATCAAAAAATCTATTATTTTCCTTTGATTATCATCCGTCAAGAGATTTTGTGGTTAGACATTTTTTAGACGCTGTGATTTATAATTGAAACCACTAATTTCGAGATTCTGGCTTTATACCAGGGTTGCCAACCGTGCTCTATTCCAGAGGACAGTCCCTTTTTAACCCTCTGGTTCTCTATTTTTGATTTTGAAAATTGGTAACCCTACTTTATACTTAAAAATTTACTAAAATACTAAAGAATAACGAAAATTACTTAATATACTAAAATTTACAGAATATCCTATTAATTTTAGTTGTATTTTTTTTACCACCAATTAATGGAATAAATTAGTGGTCGCAATTACCGTAGAAGTTTGTTCCTGTAATTTCAAGCATTTAAAACGTCAAAATTAGTGGTAGACATTTTCAATTAGTAGAGAAAGTTATCAAACTTTTAACTTTTCCACTAATTATATTTCAAAATTTGCAAGAAATGTCATTTTGGCCTTTGATTATTTTTCGTCAAGGGAAATCGTGGTTAGAAATCAAAAGTTGATTGTTTTATAAGCTAAATATTAGGCTTTATTTATGGATACAACTGACTAACGCAAGTTGTTGCTCTAAGAATATTTTATTAATTTTAATTGTGTGTTTTAGACACTGTGAATGATCGTAAACTAAAAAGTATAAACTGTAATTGAAACCACTAATTTATTCCATTAATTTCGAGGTTCTGACTTTATACCAGGGTTGCCAACCATCCTCTATTACAGAGGACAGTCCCTTTTTAACCCTCTGGTTCTCTATTTTTGATTTTGAAAGTTGGTAACCCTACTTTACACTTAAAAATTTACTAAATACTAAAAAGGAATAACAAAATTATAATATAAAATTTACAGAGATATCCTATTAATTTTAGTTTGTATTTTTTTGACCACCAATTGGTGGAATAAATTAGTGGTCGCAATTACCGTAGAGAAGTTTGTTCCTGTAATTTCAATGTAAACATTTAAAACGTCAAATTAGCAGTAGACATTTTTAGATAGTAGAAAGGATTATCAAACTTTTAACTTTTCCACTAATTATACTTCAAAATTTACATTTTGGCCTTTGATATACTAATATACTTAATACTAAAATTAACAGAATATCCTGTTAATTTTAGTTGGTTACTTTGGGTATTTTTTAGACCACCAATTAGTGCAATAAATTAGTGGTTTTCAATTAGCGTAGACGTTTGTTTCTGTAATTTCAAGCATTCATAACATCAAAAGTAGTAGACATTTTTCAATTGGTAGAAAGTTATCAGAGCTGCTTTTCCACTAATTATACTTCAAAATTACATTTTGGCCTTTGATATACTAATATACTTTAATATACTAAAATTAACAGAATGTCTCATTAATTTTAGTTAGTTAAGTTGGTATTTTTTAGACCTTGCAATTAGTGGAATAAATTAGTGGTTTCAGATAGCGAACAGACGTTTGTTCCTGTAATTTCAAGCATTCATAACGTCAAAATTAGTGGTAGACATTTTCAATTAGTAGAAAGTTATCAAACTTTTAACTTTTCCACTAATTATACTTCAAAATTTGTTTGGCCTTTGATATTCTAATATACTATAATATACTAAAATTAACAGAATATCCTGTTAATTTTAGTTGGTTAGGTTGGGTATTTTCAGAACCGCAATTAGTGGAATAAATTAGTGGTTTCAATTAGCGTAGACGTTTGTTCCTGTAATTTCAAGCATTCATAACGTCAAAATTAGTGGTAGACATTTTCAATTAGTAGAAAGTTATCAAACTTTTAACTTTTCCACTAATTATACTTCTAAATTAGT